TAATATAGTGCACTGGGAAGCACCAATTCCCAAGAAGGGACAATGTCAGGAGACCCTGCCCTTAAAATCTGGGACACTCAGGTGTGTCCAGGCTGTGCCAGCCCAGCAGCTCTGGAGAAGTTCTCAGTGGTGTGACTTGTTTGTTCCTTTATTTCCAGGTATTTTACAATATTTGCCAAATATTCCCTCACTCCCAGGATGTTTTGGCTCAGGGATTTATGAGTCAGGCTGGTTTCAGCTTCGTTCAGTCCCCAAAACAGCACAACAACATCCAACCCCCCTGCTCTTCTTAATTTCCCATGAGGGCTTTCCAAACAGGGGCCTTGCAGGAAGGAGAGGAAGGAAGAAGGAGAAGGAACAGGGAGAGCAAGGAATAAACCAGAAGGAAGAAGGAGAGGGAGGAGAAAGGAGAAAGAAGGAAAAGGAAGAAGGAAGGAAAAGGAACAAGGAAAGGAAAGGAAGGAAGAAGGACAGGGGGCAGGAAAACAAGGTGTGAGCAGGTTGAGCTGGGGGTTCCTCCTGCCCAAGCCCATCCGTAGAAGTCACTGGGCATCCTGTGCCCACAAAAACCTCCAAAACACCCAGATCTTGGTTTGGGGGGGTCGTCCCACCCCTGTCACCCTCACTGTGGGTGTCCCACTCCCTCTTTTTCCCCCCCTTTCCCACCATGTCTCTCCTTCCCACTCCCCCGAGTTCCCCTTGCCCACACCTTGGGGGGGTTCCCAGCACCACCAGTCCCACCAGTCCGGCCCCAGCTCCTCCCTCACGCCCATCCCCAGTGCTGGGCAGGTCCTGACACCCCAAACTGGTGCTAAACTGAGCCTGTGCTTGATCAGCAGTTTATTCCCAGAGGCCCAAGAGCACTTCCCGTGGCAGCACTTCACTGGTAGCTGAAGTTAAACAACAGACAGGGCATTCACACAGAATTTACCACCCCACAGCAGCAACTCACTCACTCACTCACTCACTCACTCACTCACTCACTCACTCACTCACTCACTCACTCACTCACTCACTCACAGGCCTGAGGAACCCAGGAGAGAGAGAGCAGCATTCCCAGGATGCTTTCCATGGCAGATTCACACCCACATGGGCACAAAGAGGCTGGACAAGGCACCTGGGGACAGGAATTGTCCATCCTGGCCCCAGTTCAGGATAGGACTTGCTCTGGAAGCTGGAGAACAAGAATACAATCCCACTGGGTTTGTTCTTCGGGTGAGAAAAATGAAGTTTCCAGGGCTGTGGGTTGAGAAGAGCAGGAGCTGCTCGGACAGCACCAGTCCCTGGGAGCAGGGAGGGTTTCTGAGCAGCCCAAGAGCAGCTCAGCCCAGGGGGCTGTTCATCAACGAGCATTTCTCAGATCACAGTGAGGGCTGGTGGGGAAAAAAACACCCCCACAGTGGATTACAAGGAACGTGAGCCACCAGAAACGCTGGCCAACAGGCCTTTACCCACCAGGTCTGTGCCCGACGTGGGTCCCTGTGGATCATCCAACGCGGATCACCCGACGGGTGACGGGGTGGGAGCAGCGGCCGAAGCTCCGTCGTGCTTCCCTCACCGGTGGGTCCGCCGGTGGGAGGCCAGGGCAGAGCTCTGGTTGAAGCTCTTCCCGCACCTCAGGCACCTGTAGGGCCTCTCCCCGGTGTGGATGTGCCGGTGCTTGAGGAGGTCGGAGCTGCGGGCGAAGCCCTTCCCGCAGTGGAGGCAGCGGAAGGGCCTCTCCCCCCGGTGCATCCGCCGGTGCAGGAGGAGGTCGGAGCTGCTCCGAAAGCCCTTCCCGCACTCGGGGCACCCGTGGGGCCGCTCCCCGCTGTGGAGGCGCCGGTGGAGGACGAGGCTGAAGCTGCGGCTGAAGCTCCTCCCGCACTCTGGGCACTCGTAGGGCCGTTCCCCCGTGTGCAGCCTGCGGTGGGCGAGCAGGTGGGAGCTCTGCCCGAAGCTCTTCCCGCATTCCAAGCACTCGTAGGGCCGTTCCCCGGTGTGGAAGCGCCGGTGGTAGGTCAGGCTGGAGCTCTTGCTGAAGCTCCTGCCGCATTCCAGGCACTTGTAGGGCCGTTCCCCGGTGTGGAGGCGCTGGTGGACCAGCAGGTCAGAGCTCTGGCCGAAGCTCTTCCCGCACTCCCCGCACAGGTAGGGCCGTTCCCCCGTGTGGACCTTGTGGTGGCGGAGCAGGTGGGACCTCCAGCTGAAGCTCTTCCCACATTCCAGGCACGGGAAGGGCTTCTCCCCGCCGGGAAGCCGCTCGGGGACCGCCAGGTCAGAGCTCTGGGTGAAGCTCCAGCCGCTTTCCCAGCGCCCCGGGGCTGTTTCCTCCTCGGAGCCCTTTCCCACTGGGAATGTTTGCGGCTCTTCCACCCCGCTGCCTTCCTGGGCCGTGGAGCCCTTCAGAACAGCCCCTTCCATGGGGTCCTGCCAGGGGGATTTGTCCTCAGGTTGTTCCTCTGGGGGAGGAAGGAGGAGGAGAGGGAGGAAGGAGAAGAGGGAATGAGGAGAGGGAATGAGGGAGAGGAAGGAACAAGTTGAGGAGGGAGCGAGGAGGGGAAGGAGCAAGGAGGGGAATGAGGAGAGGGAGGAAAAAGAAGGGAGAAGGAATGAAAAAGGAGAAGGAAGGAGGAGAAGAAGGTGCAAGGAGAGGAAGGAAAAGGAAGAAAGAAGGAGGAGAAGAAGGTACAAGGAGAGGAAGAAAGAAGCAAAAGGAAGAAGGAACGAGAAAGGAGAAGGAAGAAAATGGAGTAAGGAGAGAAAGGAAAGAGAAGGAAGGAAGAAGGAGAAGGAACAGGGAGAGCAAGGAAAAAGCAGAAGGAAGAAGGAGAGGGAGGAAAAAGGAGAAAGAAGGAAAAAGAAAAAGGAAGGAAAAGGAACAAGGAAAGGAAGGAAGAAGGAGGGCAAGGAAAAAGGAGGAGGAAGAAGGAGAGGGAGGAAAAGGGAGAAAGAAGGAAAAGGGAGAAGGAAGGAAAAGGAAGAAGGAAAGGAAAGGAAAGGAAAGGAAAGGAAAGGAAAGGAAAGGAGAGGAAAGGAAAGGAAAGGAAAGGAAAGGAAAGGAAAGGAAAGGAAAGGAAAGGAAAGGAAAGGAAAGGAAAGGAAAGGAAAGGAAAGGAAAGGAAAGGAAAGGAAAGGGAAAGGAAGGAAAGGAAAGGAAAGGAAAGGAAAGGAAAGGATAGGAAGGAAGAAGGATGGTGGGGGGAAAACAAGGTGTGAGCAGGTTGGGCTGGGGTTCCTCCTGCCCAAGCCCATCTCTAGAAGTCACTGGGCATCCTGTGCCCACAAAAACCTCCAAAACACCAAGATTCAGCTCAGCAAATATCCCCAAAACACAAAGTCACAGCCCCAAAAATCCCAAAACGTTCTGATTCAGCTAAAAACCCCTCCAAACCACCAACACTCATCAAGAAACCTTCAGAACATGAAGGTTCACCCCAAAAAATCCCTAAATACCAAGATTTAGCCCCCAAAAAATGAGATTTACCCCCAAAAAACTCTGAAAGTTCGAGATTCAGCAAAATAAAGCCCTTCCAAAGAGTTCCCCCCTCTCTGGTGTCTCCACTTCGGGGTTCTGGGAGTCCCCCCTCTCCAGGCTGAGGGAGATCCTGGGAATCCTGGGAGTCTCCCTTCTCTGGGATCCCTCCTTTGGTGTCCCAGGGGTCTCCCCTCTCCAGAGTGCTGGGAATCCTGGGGGTCTCCCCAGAATCCTGGGGGTCTCCCCCCTCCAGGGCTCCCTGTTTTGGGGTCCCAGGGATCCCCCATCTCCAGGCTGTGGGGGGTCCCAAGGGTCCCCCCCTCTTCAGGGCTCTCCGTTTTGGGGTCCCAGGGTCCCCCCCTCTCCGTGCTGGCAATGAAGGGCCTGACCCACGGACACCACCCCCCACCGCGGGGGGACCCCACCCCGGCACCCCCCAAGACACCTCCCGGGGACCCCCAACATCCCCCCACCCCCCCAAAGGGACATTTGCGACTCATTTCAGAGTCTTCAGAGATCCAAACGATCCCCCCGGTGACAGGAGCGGAGGAAACAGCTGGAGCCGAGTCAGGGACGTTCAGGGGGGATGGCAGGAAAAGGTTTTTCCCCCCTCTCCAGGGCCCAAGGGATGGGGACACGAAGGGACCCCGAGGGAACCCTTTCCCGCTGTCTCCCCTTATCCCCCCTTCTCCCACCCCTTTCGCCCCCAAACCGCGGCTCGCCCCCCGCCCAGGCTCTCTTTTGAGGGTGACCCACCCCCTTTCTCGCTCAGTTCGGGGGTCCCAGCCGGTCTTTTCCCCCCCTCTCCCCACCCCTTTCCCATCGTGTCCCCCCTCCCCGCTCACCGAGAGGCGCCTCGGCCGTGAGGAAGGAACTGGAGGAGGGGGAAGGGAAGGAGAGGGAAGGAGGGGAAGGAAGGCGGGGGAGGAGAGGCAGGGGGAGGAGGGAGGAGAAGGAGGAGGGGGGAGAGGAGGAGGAGGAAGGGGGAGGAACGGGGAGGAGGAAGGCGGAGGAGATGGGAGAGGAGGGAGGAGGAGGGAGGAGGAATCGGGAGGAGGGATCGGGGAGGAGGGATCAGGGGAGGAGGGATCGGGGGAGGAGGGATCGGGGGAGGAGGAATCGGGAGGAGGAATCGGGGAGGGGGAGGAAGGGCAGGACCATGGCAGCCCTCCCCACTCGCATTCCCCAGGTGACCTGGGACAGGGAGCTCGCCCCAAATATCTTGGGGGTGTCTCTGTTTGTTTTTTTTTTTCCCTGGGGGGTAGGAGGGTGAATGTTTGGGTCAAAGCTGAGCCGCAGATGCCCCTTTGGGGGACGCTGGGGGTCCCCGGGAGGTGTTTTTTTGGGGGTGCCGTGGGGGGTTCCCGGGATGCGGGTGGGGGTCGGTGTTGCTGGGTCAGGGGGCTGGGTCGGGACAGACGGACGGACACGACACAGCGGGTTTGGGGAGCCCTCGGGACAGCCGGGGCGGGGCGGGGAGGAACCCCCGGGACCCCCGGAGTGGGGAGAGCGGAACAGGGCGATGCCGGAGCTGGGGGACCCCTTGGGAAAGGGAGGGAAGCTCTGGGACAAGAAGTGGGAACCCAGAGAGGGAGGACCCCCGGGATTCCTGGGACCCCCAGCAGACCGGAGAGGGGGAACTCAGGAGAGGGGGGGACCCGTGTGACCCCCGGTACCCCAAAGCAGAGAGTCAGGGGAAAGGGGACCCCTGAAACTCCCAACATTCCTAAAGCAGCACCCTGGAGAGGGGGGAACCTCCAAACCCCAAATGGGGGAGCCCAGAGAGGGGTGCCTGGAGATGTCACGGTCCCCAGAGAGGGGGGACCCCCTAGTACATGTAGGACCCCCAGCATCCTGGACAGGAGGGACCCCCAGAACCCCGAAGTGGAGAGGCCAGAGAGGCGGAGCTCCTGGGAGGGTTTTTGGGGCTGAATCTTGGTGTTTTGGAGGTTTTTGTGGACACAGGATGCCCAGTGACTTCAAGAGGTGGACTTGGGCAAAGCTATAATGCTGACACTGAACAACTCTATTGCCAGGACAAGAGCAAAGCTCTTCCCCTAATCATGATGCATTTCTGGACATAAATTCCAAGGATCTACTCTCCACATGTTAAACAATACCAGGACATATGTTTGTAACCTCCAAATGTGGAGGCCTCAGGAGATTTATGCTCTTGTCAGCTCGTGTCAGGTTAAGTGATAAGAAGCTCATCTGCACACCCAGACAGGGCACTAACAGTGGTAGGAGGAGTAACAGGGCAGTTCATGCTCTGCCCTGGCTGCTCCATCCCTGCAGAGCCATCAGCTCACCAGGAATCCATCTCCAAACAGAGAGAGCACAGAGGAACAGTGGCAAGGGACAACCCAAATTACGGGCTCCTGAGAAAGGGACACCATGTCCCAGCTCCTTCCAGGGCTGCCCTGGCAGAGCCATCAGCCCTGTTGTCCAGGTTTGAAAGCCCTAAGGCACTGAGAGCAGATCACCATTTGAACTAGGGGGATTGTTGCCTTGGAGTGTAGGACACATTCTGGGATGCAGGGGAAGAGCAGTTTTGGATAGCACAGGGCTTGAGGGAAGTTTAGAGGAGGACCCCAACCAGTGCAGTCTGTTCTGTCTTCTCATTAAACTGAATTTCTCACTCCTGTGTGAGCCAATTTGTCTCTGCAAGAGCTGGTGAGCGTGGGGGTGTGAGTGCAGCAACTGCAGGAGGAGCAGGGCATCAAACAGCCCCCATGTCAACAGTGCTGGCAACTGAGCGACTGGAGCGGCTGGACTGCAGGGTCGGGGGGTGTGTGAGTGTGGGGGTGTCCTGGGTGGGAGTGGAAGGCTTAGACAAAGCCTTTAAAGAAGCTCAACTGCTGTTGAGTCACGAGGTACAGAAAGGATCCCGTGGCTTTCTAAATTCCTTCTCAGAGAGGAGCCTGAGTGTGGTTGGATCCAATCTTAACCTTGGGCTGTGTCAACGGTTTAAATTTAAGGAATTACAGAGGTGTGATTAAATCACTTTGTCTCGCAGGTTTTAATGATGGCAGATCAGAGGTATTTATATAAAATGAATTATTTATTATGACAAATGAACTCATAAGTGAAAACAGATGAAAAATCTTAATCAGAATGATTTACTACAGCATGAAAAAACTAAAAACTTACTAGTAGGGTATAATATAGCATAAAGTAGTACAGTGCACTTTATCGAAGCAATTCTATGAAATCAATTCTATCACAACCAGCCAAAGAAACAAGCATTCAGAAGAGACTGATATAAACCACCATAGGAGACAGCAGGCAGATCTCTCACTTAACCCCAGGGGAGGGACCAGGAAGAGTATCTGTGGCTCTGTGAGAGTTTGGGCTGCTTTTCCTTCTAAAAGGAGCATCACTCCAGCTGGAGGGAGACCACTGGACAATATGTTTGCTGTTGTAAGTCCCATCATTTGAATGCTTTCATTGGAATGAGTGGGAAACGGAGAACAAATCCAGCAGTTCCTGCTGTTTGTTCTCAGTGTCACAGCCTGCGTTGGCTTTCGGGGTGAGCTTCTCTTCCAAGGCTCAGGTGGCATTTGCTCTGGTGTGTTCTATTGGAGTGGCCCTTGGGAAAAGGGACTTTGGTCTCTTTTCTTTCTTTTATCATTGTTAGTTGCAAGGCCCTGTTAGGACAGCTGGCTAATCCAGGGATAAATAACCACGCTGCAATACTAGAAACATTGTCCTATAAATATAAAAAGATAAAATCATTTAATGATTTTCACTTTAGAGGTTCTTATTGTGTTGCAGCTTTACCTGCAGCTGATTTATTGTTCACTGCACTGGCCAGGACAGTTGGTTCCTCTGTGTCCGGAGCTGTTTTATTGCCATACAGGGAATTTGGGAGTCTCCTCCCAGAGCTTCCACAGCCATGTTGGGAGACAAGTCCTTCCCAGTTCTGCTTGAGCAGCTCCTTCTCTCCCATCTGGACATACACCCAGTTTTCTGTCTGCTGAGGATATACTTGAACATCCAAGGTTATTAGAGAAGGTAAAATCACAAACTTATACAATGACAAGAGTAGTTCAGAATGTGGAAAATATCCATGGGGAACTGATCCTGTGTGTGTGCCCATTAGAGTCCAGATTCAGTCAGGATAATGGTCCTCGAGTGTCCATCAGTCACAGGTCCAGGGTCCCTTTGGTTCCAGGAGTCCCCACAGTGTCACAATTAAACCCTTTTATTCCCTGAGGTTCCATAGCATTCCAGTTGCCCTGATGACCCCATGAGATTCCACAGTTCCCCAGGGTTCCTTTGGTTCCATGAGGTTCCACAGTGTCACAATGGCCCCTTGATTCCAAGAAGCCCTGCAATGTCACAGTGGCCCCTTGATTCCATGAGGTTCTGCAGTGTCCCGGGGTTCCTTTATCTCCATGAAGTTCCACACTATCACAGGGTACCTTTGGTTCCACGAGGCCCCACAGTGTCACAACGGCCCCTTGGTTCCCCAGAGCTCTGCAGCTGAAGTTCTGAGGCCTGAACAACATCCCCTGAGCCAAAGTTGGCCTCTGGATGAACCTTCCAACTTAACGTTCTATTTCTCCGCGGATCCGCTCAGGAGCTAAAACTGTGTATGAGCATCAGTGAAATCTGTAGTGGGATAGGGCTGTATCTGATATTGTGATGGTTTTGATCTAGGCCTTCCTAGTAACAAGTTTGTAACCAAGGAAGTGGCCAAGTACCCAGTATTCCATACGATTTTTACGCAAACTAGAGTATAAATAAGTTGGAGATTAGAGACCTCTCTCTCTTCTCTTCCAACGAGGGTCGGGAACTGTAGGTCCTTGTGTTGGTCTCGCTTTTCTAAAGCTGAGGCCTGCAGCGACCACTGGCCTGCCACGTGGGGGTTTGGAGAGTGCTGGCTGTGTCTGCCAATCCTGCTTTTCTAGGGGAAGTGGTGAGATCTGTTTTGTTAGTTACTAGTATAGTTCTTGAGTTTGATCAAGTATACCTGTTCGGTGTCCCTTTTGTTCCCTTTCGTTCCTTTTTTTTTTTCCCCTTTCCCTATCCCTTCGAGGGGTGGATCCCCTTCTACTGTGTATATAGCATCTTAACTGTATATAACTGTAATTTACGTAAATATATATATATATTTTTATATAAGTAGCTTGACTTTGGGTTCTTTAATTTTTTATAGTTTTTTTTCTTTGCCCTAAGAGGAGAAGGGAGGGGGGAAGGGGGCTGCTGTTGTGACTTCCGGGCATTTGGTAGAGAGCCAGGTCCAAACTATCACAGATATATTTGTGTCTGCTCACTAGTGGAAAATATTTGTATTTTTTCAT